CCTGAAGCACAGAGGGGGTTATTGTTACGCTCTCCAGGCCTGTCGTCATAAACCATATCAGAGAGGGAGAGAGAGAGTAATTACTTTGGGAGCTCCTTGAACTGCTGCATGAAAAGCAGCTGTGCACGATGTAAGATGTCAGCGCGATTACCGCAGCCTCCATGAACTGAGCTGCTCAGATGAGAAATCGAAGGAGAGAAATAGTGACATAAGTCTGTCCCTAACCTCACTTACACCCCGACGAACGTGCAGCGCAAACAAACCCGTCACAAAGGTTTGTTCTAGCACGGCTAGCACAATGCAGCGCACTCGAGCTCGAACAACGGTGGGCCGGCTGAGCAGGACAGGAGCTGTTGCCATGGTTACCATTTCTCGGCTCGCTCTCACAGCCCGGGAAAACTGTGTCATTATCCTGTACTCTGGACAGGAGGAGAGAGGAGGGATACAAAGAGAGCGGATGAGGTGGAAAGAAGAGAGGAAAGATAAAAAGGCAGAGGGGAGTGGGTGCTGTTCACTCTGGACTCCCATCATCAAAATGTGCACTCGTTTGCATTCACGTTTTTTTTTTATTCCGTCTGTTCCATCACTTGGTTGAGCTATAGTTTTCAGTCTGAAAGGTAAACAGCATCAACGCTGACAAACAATGCTTGGAAATGTCACAGGAAAGCAGCGCTACGTCAGGTGATAATGGGATGTGTTTTTGCTCGTATTTATGGCATGTGCTCTGAATATCGTTTCCCACCAGCCGTTGCATTGGTGACAAAAATCAATCTATAAATTGTCTTGTTTATTTTAACACGCCAGCAGACATCTACCACCCCGATGACAGCCCACACGAGTTAAGTAAACACAGTCCACGGTAACAGTGTTTCAGTGGGATAACGGTCTTCTGAAGAGCTTTAACTGTGAGTCATTTCTAATCTTAGACGCACAAAGAAAATAACTTTATACATCCAGGACCTTCTGTGTTTGAACATGAGCGAGCGAGTGTGCAATTATCATGCTGTTTGTGCAACACGGGGTCCACTACAGAGGAGTTACTGTACATTGCGAACTAATTACATGGCAGTGTAAATAGAGGCGCCCTGCTGATGTGGGGTGTTCGCCACATGATTTCCCCTGGTGGAGCAGAGCCTGTTTGCACCTCCTTGCTGTGCTCTGTGTGCAGGCATGCGTGTGACCTATACACGCAGGTATACGTGCGCGCTGATGGAGTGTATGTTTCCTAACCCGTGAGCTGGGCTTTATTGAGCTACAGGCTAAAAGAGTGTGTCTGTGATGGGGAAAGCAGAGCAGCTTCTCCAAATGAAAGGTTGCCCTCTACTTCTCTGTCCACTGAACATGGTCCCCCAGAGGGACCTGTTCGTATTACTGTGGCTGTCTGCTGCTGAGAGAAACAAACAGACAGCACAAAACAAAGCCTCATTCCAGAGCAGCGTGAGAAAGAAACTTGTTTAGCCCTCGTTTTTACTCCTTTGCACTATTGTGCTTTTTTTTTTTTTTTTTTTAACCCGGCTGCATGAAAGAAAGGAAAGAATAAGTGTTCGACTCACAGCTGAGAGTAGATAAGATGTGAGGAATGTCTTTCTGACACGTTTTCAATTACTTCTGCCAGTTACATTTCATGTCTGGTTAAAGCTAAATAGAACGTTTTAAATGCAGACATTTAGAAACTTCTAGTGAGTAGAAAAAAGTGGCAGCTGCTGGTAATTGCTGTGTGCTTTGTACTGTGTGTGATTTTTATTTTTATTTTATTTTATTCTGCCAAATAAGAATCAAATTAAATCTGCTCATGCTTGCTAATATTCCTCCCAGGTGCATATGTTAAAGGGAAATTATAGTGCGACCTACTTTAAAGTAGGGTTATATGAAGTTGTTTTCAGAGGTCAGTATCTTACCTTCAGTAGATGGATAAATAAATAAATAATAAAGGGCTATGTGTTGTCATCACTGTATGTTCCCATACAAAGACGAAATTAGTTCTCTGCATTTAACCCATCTCACCTGGGATGCACCCAGGTGGAGCAGTGGACAGCTGTGTAAGCACCCGGGGAGCGATTCGATACACCCAGTTTAAAGAGTTGGGGGAAGGAAAGGTAACTGCTAGTGAAACTGGGGTCACTTCCAATAAATATTTCTGCTATTATAAAATCTCCAGATTGAAAAAAAATAAGGGATGGATGGATGGATGGATGGATGGATGGATGGATGGATG